ACCCTAAACCCTAAACCCTCACCAGGGTATAATGGGGTTCCCCCAATTAAGGGCCCATGTTTAAACTTTGCCTGTCCCCGGTGTGCTGCCTCTTTTTTTCCCCAAAGGGTCCATGTTAGGGTTTAGGGTTTAGGGTTTAGGGTTGTAGTGTATGCCTGGGCCTTCAAGGGATTTCTGTGTAGTAACTTTCGAAAGCCCAAGTATGTAGTATACGGGCACACGGGCCCTTCGGATCCCTTCAGGGTTTAGGGTGGTTTAGGGTCTAGGGGTTCAGGGTTAAATTCCCCGGAATCCTAGCCGCAGTTAAGCCCGATTCAGTGCAAGCCAGGAGACCCTCGAGGTAAGACCTACGCCCCAAACACTAAACCCTAAATACCGACAGAAATCAGGTCCTTGAACTACGTGGCCTAGAGCCTGCGACAGAAGCCGAGGCGACTGGGACTTGATTTACGAGTGTGGGCTTAAACCCTAAACCCTATGGGTTTGCAGGATTTTAGGGTTCAGGGTTTATAAGGGTTAGTGTGCTCCTGCTCCCAGGTGATGAGGACAAGAGTCTGGGTTCAACAAACAGAAGGGCCGTAGAGTTGCAGGTAGTGACGAGGAGACCTGCTGAAAAAAAGTGTTTACAGGGTTTGTACTCTGTCCTTTGTGTGCGATGGCCTCAGTCGGGATGATTGCGACTTCTCACGTAGCTCGCTAGAGTTGAGTCCTGGGAGAAAAGGGTTTAAAGGGTTTTTGCTTCCGTGGCCGGGTAGCACATGCCCATCGCGTGCAACAGCTATGTATGCCAACGTATGCATCTGGAGAGATGTACCAATCCGGCATTACTCAGGCTCCGTTGAATCCATGCAATATAACGGGACAGTACGTCGTGACCGCGACCATATTTTCCTGGGTGAGCAGGCTTCAGTTCCAGATTTTCAGGCCTCTGGTGAAGTCTTCCCACAGCACACGCGTTGGGGATTCCCATGGGGGGGAGGGGGGGGGGGAGGGGGGGGAGGGGGGGGGGGAGGGGAAAGCACAAAAAACCTTGCAACAGGTACGACTACACCTGAACTTCCCTAAACTTGCTCAAACTTTTAAACTTCCTTAACCCTATATTGGGTTGTGCTGTCGGAGAGTTGTTTAGTTCTCTTCTCCCCTTGCACGGGAACCTATTCATAAACAGTTTTCAAAGGGTCTAAAGCACCAACTCAGTATAGCAACATATGAACTACCAAGAGCAACCCAAATCGTCGATTGGGTGTGAGAGGTTCGTGGCGTAAGGGTTGGTAGGGATGAGGGCAGGGGGTTCGGGGCTTTTAGAGCTGTGAAAATTGTCAAAAGCTGGGTTTTGGAGTACTACACTTTAATACTTTTTTTTGGTTCTGGGTTCCTATAATAGCTACTTATATCTAAAAAGTATATACTTTTTTCCAGGGTCTACTCCAAAGCTAAGAAAGGGTCGAGGGTTGAGGGTTGCGGGCTTGATGTGAGGTTATCTCGGTTTTAAGTTTCAGGAATCGAGTTGCAAGTTTTTTCTGCGTCAGCGAAGCAAAAGGTCGGCAGAGTCTATAGGGGCTTGTTGTTTGCGCTACCCATTCGAGCTTTTTTCTCCACTGTTTCCTACTAGATCCTTGGTTGTGACTGACTTTTGGGCATGTTTGAGAGGTGCACGCTGACAGGGTTGCACACCCATCGTATGCTCTTATTTTGGTCTGTCTCCAAGCAGGCTGCAGAAGCAGAGCAGACGGGCAAAAGGTGGATGCCAGCGTACCGAAGGCGTCGCGGCCTTTGGCTTGTGATTTAAAAGACTGTTTTGGGGGCTTTTGATGAATGAGGTGGGCGATGGTTTTTTTCTTCGCATGCCGTAAGGCAAAAAGGGAGGTGAGCAGCTGGCATACTATACAACTGGGCAAGAGAGAAGGGGGGAGGACAACCAAAAACACAAGCAAACCGAGGGAGGGAGTGAGAGACAGAGAGAGAGAGCCAATGCAAGATAGCTGGTTGCCAGGTAACCCAAAGCAAGGCAAACCTTCCCCTCCTGGGTCCTCGGTCGTTGTTCGCCTTAGGGTTTAGGGTAAAGTTTAGGGTTTCCTTCCGTAGTCATTGGTGGGGTGGGGAAGGGCTTGTCTAGCCCGAGGAACTCCACGGTTTATTGTCAGCAAGCATGAATCCTGAGGGTCCAACGTGCCCAAGCAGCAAATACTCAGGCCCTGGGGGCCCTGAGTATATGAGAGGCTCTTTAGAATATATTCGCACTATGGAGGCACCCTAAACCCGAACCCGAAAAAACCGTATGCCCTATAAACCATGAAGGCCAATAATATACTATATCGGCACCTGCAGCCCCAAGCCTAAACCCCTTAAACCTCAAGCCAATCTTCAGGCCCAAGAATGATACTAGATAGGCACTCGAAACCCAAAGCCAAGAGCACCTTAGACCCAAAGCCCTAAACCCCCCGAGAATCATACAAAATAGGCACCCGAAGACCGAAGCCTAACCCCCCTAAATCAAGATAAGGCCCAAGAAGACAGGACCCAAAGCGTAAACCACTACACCCTACATCGATTTCAGGCCCACGAATATACTGCATGAAACACCGCAATGTGCGACATAGGTACCCGAAACCCCTGCATCCTACACCTTTACCCAAGAATATACTGCATCACATACCGAACCCTACATGGTTCCTTTGAATTTCTCCAGGCTCGAGCTTCTCACGCCCATCGTTGGGGGCGCCGGGGAGCTTGTGGTCAACGCCGACCGCGCCACCACCCTCGAGGAGAGGGGTTTAGGGTTCCGGGTTCAGGGTTAAGGGTTTAGGGTTTAGGGTTAACAAGCCTGAAACAAACAGGCCTAAGACCTGAGGCCTCTCGGGAGGTCAGGGGCCTGTGATGGGGGTGGCGCTAAGCAAGGCCCCAAACCCTAAACCCCAAACTCCTGAACCCAAAACTCCTGAACTCTAAACGCTAAACCCTAAATCAAACAACCCTAAGACCTGAGACCTATCGGCCTCAACCCTGAAAAGCCTACAAACCAGTCCCCAAACCCTAGAAACCCTAGAAGCCCCATAAACCCTATAAAGCCTGTAAACCCGATAGTCCCCTCCCCCTAAAAATTAACCCCTCCCTACCCCCCCCCCCCCCCCCTCCCCCCAAAAATCACCCAATATGCAATAATTTCAACTATAATGGGGGGTATGTAATAGCAGGGGGTACCAAGAGACCCCAAAAACCCTTGGCCCTTAACTAAGAAATATACCTTGAATCAAATTAGGGTTCCTATTATAGTGTAAGGGATATTCCTTATAATTTAAGGGGTTTTGGAGTCTCCCTAAACCCTAAACCCTAAACCCTAAACCCTAAACCCTAAACCGGGGTTTTAATATTGGGGGGAGGGGATGAAACACTGTATTTCCGCCCGCTGACGCGCAGGAAGCCGGTCTCCAGTCGAAGCTCGGGGTGATGTTCTCGCAGGCCTTTGCTTTAGGGTTTAGGCTTTAGGGTTTAGGGTTTAGGGTTTAGGGTTTAGGGTTTGGAGTTTGGGGTTTAGGGTTTAGGGTTTAGGGTGATATCAAGGGGTTAGGATTCAGGGCGAAGGGTTGAACGGATGAAGCGGGTTAGGATTTTTAGGGCGTAGAGTTGAATGGGTGAGGTGAAACGTGGCATGTACCATGCCACCTGCTGCAAGAAGGCCAGGTCCAGGCCCTACAAAGAGGCCCCCCCCCCTTTCACCCATGGTTATAAGTGGAGTTATAAGGACCCTAAATTGGGTTATAAGCATCCTAACTTAGGTTTTAAGTCCCTTAGCTATTGTTAGCATAGGAAATGGGGGCGCCTCCCTTGTAGGCCCATTCCGTGACGTCGTACCTGAGGCCCAACGCTCGACTCTCGGGTATCTCATGATGCTGGCGTCTGGGGTATTTTGCACTCGGCCCGCCTTCCCTAGCCCGGTCTTCTGAACACCAAAGCTTAGTAGTCGATTCCCAAAAGGGCCTTGCGCCTGTAGTTCCTGCAGGAAGTCGGACAGGGAGGAGCCCCAAAAACCCGAAGCCCTGAACCCTAAAACCCCAAACTGCAGTTGCCATTCCGGGAGGCCTTTGTGTGAACACCGACGTTGCAACTGGCGTATGAGTTCTAGAACCTGAAAACTCTGAAATCCTGAGGCCCTCATGGTGGAAACCCTGAGCTTCCTCAACCCCGTTCGGGTTAGGAAGCGTATTGGGGGTTCAGGGTTTACGGTTCAGGTCTTCCAAAACCCTAAACCCCTAACCCCTAAAAGCCCCCAACTCCCCAAGCCCTGTTAGGACTGCAGCCCGCGCAACTTGGCCATCCAAGCCGGCCCATGGCAGGACAAAAAGCCTCTTGCGAAGCTTCGGGTTTAGCGTTTAGGGTTTGGGGTTTAGGGTTTAGGGTTTAGGGAATGAGGAGAAATGGGCGTTTTGGGCAAAGTATCCCGAAACCCTAATCCCAAACCCTAAGCCCGAAATGGCTCGAAGTACGTCTTGTGCATACGTAGACTTCAGACACTAGACCCAAAAGTAGAATTTACTTGTATACTTAGGACAAGCATCTTTTGCAATTGTGGTCATTGGAAAGGTGTTCTCGCTCCTGTCCTTACTAGGGGGCTTATGAGGCTTATGTGTGTTTTCTTGGGTGCGGGCAAACAGAAGCGGGGGGTGAACCCTAAACCCTAGACCCTAAACCCTAAGCCCTAAACCCACAACCCACGACCCACAAACCTAAAACCTAAAGCCTGAACCCTAAACCTAAACTGTAAGGGATATACTCGAGAGACCCGGCCACGGCAGCCCCCTTCAGGATTGCTTGGGGTTTAGGGTTTAGGGTTTAGGGTTTAGGGTTTAGGGTTTAGGGTTTAGGGTTTAGGGTTTAGGGTTTAGGGTTTAGGGTTTAGGGTGCTGTTTGTTTTGGCGGGGAGAAAATGAGGTTGGCGCCAAGATTGAACCCTCAACCCTGAACCCTTGCTCACCAACCCGGCGCTCATGGCCGTCGGTGAGGTGCAGCATCAGCAGCACGAGATGCAGCAGCTGCAGTCAAACCTCAGGCCCTCCTCTTGGCTTTCTTCTGTTTAGGGTTTAGGGTTTAGGGTTAAAAGGGGCCCTTTGGGGCGAAGTCCCAAAATGGTCCTTATCGGTGTTTCTTCTGGCTGGCTCTTAGGCCTTTAACCTTTAAGGGTTGTTGGAGAAACTACCTTAAGGAGCCTAAACGTTGAAGTTTTGATAGGAGGGGTTCAGAAGTCAGCCAAGTTCTTTCTGGGGTTTCGTGTCGAGGGTTGGGACTTCTCACCTCTAGGGGCTACTTTTTCCCGCTCCCGCCCGGTTCTTGAATAGGGGTCTTATCAGGGCGGGTAAATGCTCAATTGCGTATCATACAAAGTTGAGGCAGCGGCACTTCCTCCACCTAGCGCCTTTTGCACGCAAAGCCCCAGGACCCTACGTAGAATTATCGAAGGCGTGATTCTCAAGGAGCTGCCTGCCTTCGAGCCAAACTCCTCTATGTGCTGCCCTAAGGGTCCATGTACCTTATAAGTATATACTTGGGCCCCAAATTCCCTATATCGCAAGTACTTTAGGGCCCAAGTATGCCCTATTTAGGTACATGAGCCCTTAGACCCTTAGGGCTAGTAAGATCTGCAGTTATAAGTAGAGCTATAAGGACCCGAAATTGGGGTATAAGGATCTTAACTTAGGCTGTAAGTCCCTAAACCCTACACCCTAACTACAGTTAGTATAGTATAAGGGGGCCCCTCCTTGTACTGGACAACTAAGCTCATGCTTGTGTGAGGCGTATGAACTTCGAGCGACTCCCTGCACACTTGGGCCGCAGCCTCAGCATCCTCAACCGCAAAGCCGGCAGGGTTTAGGAATTAGGGTTTAGGGTTTTTGGGTTTTAGGGTTTTAGGGGTTTTTAGGGTTTTTAGGGTTTTTAGGGTTTTAGGGTTTTAGGGTTTTAGGGTTTTAGGGTTTTAGGGGTTTAGTTTAGGGTTTGATTTGTTCAAGGGCTTGGGGTTTTGGTTTTAGGGCTGAGGGTGAAGCAAGGATTCCCTTGATTATGAGAAAATGCTGACTGCGCTACCTTGGACCCAGGAGAAACTTGTAAGCAGGATTCGCCTTTGGAGGGGTGGCTACGCCTTGGGGGGCGGCAACGATCCGTTTCCTGACAAGCTGCCCCAATGGCCTTTCCTGGCCTTAAGCTTTCAGCTAGAGTTCCCTTAGTTTGCTCATTGTTGTTTTGTAACACCCAAGGGTAGCTTAAACAGAATCCTTTCTGGTTCTACGAAAAGGGTACAGTAATTAAACCCAAAGCCATACACATCTAACACAGCCCAGGGCGTCCCGAATCAAACTCTCGGCCCAAGATCTTTCCCACAACCCTCAAGTTCGTCGTAGTCGTCGTTGCTTTTGGCTAACCTCTAGGTCACCCCTTATTTTAGGGCCATAAGACCTCAAAAGTGCGGGCTACTGGGTGGGCTTTTGGGCTTTTGGGACATGTTGCATGGGTGGTTGTCAAACTTACGGTTCCCTTTTTGGATCCCTGTTATAATACGACACCTAATATTTATGGTACCCCAAAAGGGATGATAATTTTGACAACCGCCCAAATGCTTCCCTAAAACAATTGGGATTTATGAGGGGCCTTACATGCATTTATGTTTCGCAAAGGGGTTTAAATAGGCCAACCCAGGGTTATGGGATGCGGCCCTTCCAGTGGTTTAGGGTTTAGGGTTTAGGGTTCAGGGTTTAGGTTTAGGGTTTAGGGTTTAGGGTTTAGGGTTTAGGGTTTAGGGTTTAGGGTTTAGGGTTTAGGGTTTAGGGTTTAGGGTCAGGTCCTTAGTCTGAAAGGTCCTCGTTCGGCCATTTCTCGGTCACAGTCTCCTCAACAAGGCTCAGCGACGGGAGGGGAGGAGAGCGGGTGTTGGGCGTGTTTCCTACAGCAGTCTGCCTGGGTTTGGGGTTTTGGGTTTAGGGTTTAGGGTTTAGTGTTCAGTTTTTTGGATACCAGCTCAGTGTTGGGACCATGGGTATTGAGGTACTCTCGTATCCTCCTTTCAGGGGTTATCTCATGCCTTCATTCCCTGCTAAGAAGCCACATTCTTGTGTTTCACTCGTTGGAATCTTGAAAACACCACCGGGATCTTTACGCCCAGGCGTAGAAACTTTTTGAAAAGAATCGAAGGGTCGTTGCATGACCCCTGAAAATAGTCCCTTACAGTACCTTCCTAAAAGGGTTCTGAGGTATGGGCTCCTGGTGTTGAAGCTAGTTTCTGCAATTAAAGCTGATGATGTACTTGATGATCATGGCTTGCGCATGTTATTTAACAATGATGTGGTTGTGCTTCGCTCCCCAACAGACCTCACTTAGGTTTGGAGCCTGCTTTCTAGATAGCTTTCGTTCATGATTGTGCATGCCGTGTTCCAATGATGTTTAAGGCCGAAATGACCGCGACCCCTACACCTAGGTATTGACACTGTGGTTCTTGCATGCTATTTTCCAATGTGATGATTGCGTTTCACAAGTTGTATCCCCCAAATCACCGCAGGAATCTCCACACCTAAGTGTCAAAACAATTTTTTAAAGCTTCAGTTGTTCATCTTCGCCCCCAAAAACCAAGACTTGCGCGCATGATTCTCAGCCTCTTAACTTTGCTCCGTGTCGTTTGGATGCAGCAGGTCAAGCGCCTCTGACCCTAAGCCCTCAACCCGAACACCCTGAACCCCAACCCTAAAATCCTAAACCCGAAGCCCGAAACCCCAAACCCCAAACCCCAAACCCCAAACCCTAAACCCTCAACCCTCAACCCTCAACCCTAAACCCAAACCCCAACACCAGAATCATCTCGAATGCCGGAACGCCACTGCGTAGCAAAGTGGACGTCGGTACAGCTGGGTGGAGGCAAAATCCCGGCCTAAAGTAACCCTTGGCACCCTTCTAGATAAAGGGTTTAGGGTTTAGGGTATAAGGGTCATGTGCTGTAATTATTGGTAAATACCCTTTCGCCCTAAATTGCTAACCCTGAACCCGAAACCCTGAACCCTAACAAGCCCCTGAGTGTATCCGTTAGGCCACTCTTGCTAAACCCTAAGCCTTAACCCTAAACCCTAAACCCTAAACCCTAAACCCCTTAACCCTAAACCCTAAACCCTAAACCCTAAACCCCTGCGCTTGGGATGACGAGCCAGGAGCCCCTCCTGAGGTAAGGACGGCCTCGCCCCTGGCCATGAGAGCGCCAGGCCGGAGATAAACCGGCAAACCCCCTAAACCTTCCTTGGGAGGCTGGGTTTAGGGTTTAGGGTTTGGGGTTTAGGGTTTAGGGTTTAGGGTTTGGGGTTTGGGGTTTGGGGTTTAGGGTTTAGGGCTTAGGTCCCTACTTGGAGGTTCCCCCTTAAACTACCAGTCCTTGATTAGTAGGGGGGGTACTAGAATCCCTATTGAGCCCAAACCCTACTTGAAGGTTATCACCCCAACTGTAACTGTTCTTTTACGCCCCCTACGTCCCCTAAGCAGGCTATAAGGACGGTTGTAAATGGGGTTAGAAGTACCCTTGAACCTCCAAGTTAACCCTAAACACATCTTCTGAAGAGGTGGGGGCTTAGGGTTCAAGATTTAGGGTTCAGGGTTTAGGGTTTTGCACTCCCAGCTCTGCTCTTTTTTGAGGGCGCCTCTTTCAATCTGGGCCCACAATCCTCAAAAATACCCTTCAACCCTCATCACCCCAAGCAGGCCTTAGAATCCCCAAGCCCTACGCGTCCTTTCGTGGCAAGTGGCTGCATGGTGCACGTAATTTCCGGGGGCGAGGCTATCGCAGCTTTCGGCTTCTGCTTCTCCCCGAATCGCTTCAGCCCCAAAAGGGTTTGGGGTTTAGGGGCCCCAAAATGTCGCAACAAACAAAAGCCAAAAGAAGTAAGCTCTTCAGAATCAGGCAATCGGCAGCAAGGAACCAAACCCTCACAGATCGAAATTGGCGCACAAGTCGATCCCAAAACCTCTTCACCCTACCAGCACCTCCCCTCCCCTTCTCCCCCTAATTCTTCTGCATCGTGCCCGAAGTACAGTACTTACTACGACTTTCTCAGCCAATAGTTGAACTTTAAGCTTTTTGGGTTTCCTTATTTAGTAGGAATAATACAGTTAACCTTTTTCCCCCTTGGTTATATTGGAGAAGTAAGATGACATGCTGTCCTCTTCAGAGTTGAATTGGGGGATTGAGTCTTTGAGCACACAAGCTCGGCTGCGGGAGGTGCGGCGTGGCCGACGGCCACAACCTCAGTCTGGGAAGTCGCTGCTTTGCCAAAAGGAAACCTTGCCCGACATTTCCCGCGGTTTGGGGTTTAGTTTAGGTTTAGGAGATATAGTTTACAGGGTCTGGGGTTTAGGGTTTAGGGTTTGGGGCCCGCTGTGCAGATAGGGCCCCAGTTTTGAATTGAGCCCTATAGGAATAGACGAGGTAAGGACGTCGATGGAAGCAGGCACGTAAAGGCCCACGCTTCGTCGTCGAACAGTAGCCGTAGCCGTAACCCTTAGCCTGCTTTGGGAAAGTACTTACTTAGCCAATGGTAGAACATTAAACTTTTTGGGCTTCCTCGTTTAGTAGGAATCATAAAGTTAAACCCTTTTTCTTTCCTTGGTTATTGGAGAAGTAAGGTACAATCCCCATGTAATCCCTAAACCCTCAATCCTAAACCCTACAGTAGGCCTAGCCTAAGAACCCAAAAGCTCGGTTTTTTAGCTATAGCTTACCTATAAGAATCCCACAAGGCAGTTTTATCGTACGAGCCTACAACACAAGTAGGGTTCTTAAAGAATACCCCCCCCCCGCCCCCAAGATCCTCCTTTGAAGCTCTTGTTACTTAGTAAGTCTACTCAGCAACCGCTAGAAATCCTAAAGAATACCCCCCCCCCCCCCGCCCCCAAGATCCTCCTTTGAAGCTCTTGTTACTTAGTAAGTCTACTCAGCAACCGCTAGAAATCCTACTATTATCCCCATAACCCAACTTACTACCCCTACGTACCAAGTCAACAGGGCTTCCAAGTAGAATTTAGGGTCTCGGGGCTACCCTAAACCCCAAACCCTAAACCAAGCCCTAAGCCCTAAACCCCAAACCCTAAACCCTAAACTCCGCAACCCTAAAAGGGGATCCTGCAGTCGCTGCTGGGCAGGTACCGGTTCCTGGCAGTCCACCAGTTCCTGGCACTCCAGTGGCCGAGGGCCGAGATTTGATTTGGGGTGTTGGAATTGGGGTGTAGGGTTTAGGGTTTAGGGTTGAGGGTTGAGGGTTTAGGGTTTAAGGGTTTAGGGTTTAGGGCTCTAGTCGGGCCTTAGTAAAGCCAGCTGCACCCACCCTCGTCGGTGAAAGCCGGCGGTGGGCCCTTTTCCCTTTTGTTGGTTCATGGTTCCCTTATAAAGTATCCAGCCCCCGAAAAGGGTGCCCTCATTCCGATATGATTTCTGGGCTACAAAAGCAGATGTTTCTAAGAATTGGGGCCTCTTTCGAGGGCTGGATGGGAAGTTGGGCATCGGCCCTTTTGAGGTTTAGGGTTTAGGGTTTAGGGTTTAGGGTTTAGGGTTTAGGGTTTAGGGTTTAGGGTTTAGGGTTTAGGGTTTAGGGTTTTAGTTGCAGTCCGCATGTCGGGTCCAGACGATTCAAGGGCGAAGCAGCCTAAAGCGGAGGCATGCCCTCACAAGCACCTTCATCCCTGACCCGAAAATTGCGGGGTATAGAGGAGGCGGGTTTAGTAGCTTTAGATTAACTGGAAGGAATTAAATTAAACTTCAACAAAGTGTAAGCCCTTTGCCTATGCCATGTTTGCGACCCCCCGGCACCCTGACAGCAAAATGGGCCTTGGGGAGACAGTGCTTGAATAGCGGGCATTGAGGGCATCGTAAAAAGATGTGCAGTTTTGGGTCTAGGCAAACCCTCAAACCCTATAAACCTAAACCTTAAACCCTAAACGCTAAACCCCAAATACCTAAACCCCAAACCCTTAAATCCCAAACTACTATATACCCTAAATCCCCCAACCACCCCGTACACCCTGCCCAGGCCTACGTTCCAAGGTCCATGTCTCCGACGCCCAGCCAGGCCTCCATGGACCAGGGCGGCCACTCCCCCAGCCCCCGCCTGACCCAAGATCCTACGCTACTTAGGGTTCAGGGTTTAGGGGAACCCTAAACCCTACACCGCAGGCCTTACTTGGAGGTTCATGGTACTTCTTCACCAATTACAACAGTACTTAGAACCCACATATAAGCCCCTTAAGTGCCCGAATATGGTTATAAGTACAGTCATATAATTGGTTAATAAGCCCAACACCCAATTCATGACAATACAAGCAAGAGTTCTAAGCTTCCCTGGCAGGATTTAGGGCTTAGGGTCTACGGCAACCCTTTCTTCTGGAGTTTTATAAGGTCTCAGAACCTCTGCGTTAAATACCATACTGCTGATGCATTTCAGGGTCTTGATGACACTACCCTGAGAGCCTGCGGGAGGCTTGTGGTCAGCCCCGTACGGAGTCCCCACTGCAACCGCGCGCCTGGAACACAGAGGGTAAACCCTAAACCCTAAACCCTCAACCCTAAAACCCTAAACCCTACCGGGGGAGGGGGATGCTTGGTGAGGCGTCATGGGATTTGAGGGGTTGAAGGAATAGGGTTTAGGGATGCCTAGGGTATAGGGTCCGTTAGCTGCTGAAAAGGCAATAAACTTTACGGTTGCCCGGGGTGCTATAACATACAAACCCCTTTAAAAACCAAACGGTAAGCTTTTGCAACCCAGGAAGTTTCTGGCATTCAGATGTACCAGTATGTTTTTGGAGAGGGGGATGGGGTGGAGGCACCGGATGATGTCTCTGGATCCCTGGCGGCACATAGCCTCCTTATTCCTTATACTCCAATGCATGTAAAACCCTTAGCTTACTCGAACCAGATCTTCGCTCTCCCTGCCGACACTGACGCTGAACCGCAGGGCCTTCTGCCCAAAACCCGGAACGCGAAGCACCACTAAACCTTTCCAGCTGTAGTTGGGCTTCTTGAGGTCAAGCAGCCCTGACCCAGACCCCTGCAAAAATCCAAAAAATAGAGCCCGCAAATTGTACCCTCTACCACGTTTGGGTCAGGAACGCTAACTTAAGGGGATGCTGTGAGGGGTCTGGGATCGAAGGCGGTCTATCCGGTTGTGGCCGTCGCGCCGACTGTGCCCCAACCGGTGCTCTACAGTGCCGGGGCCTCAGCGTGCTATGGTTTGTTCTTGCTGACCCCCCAGACAGCTTTACAGGAGGATCAGGATGATCCTAAACCCTAAACCCAAAACCCAAAACCCCCGAAACGCAGAGTCAAGCCTGCACGGGCTCCAGGGCCCCTACACCCTCAACCGATTCTGCTTGGAGTCAAGTTTGGTTGGGGAACGGTCCGCGAGCTTCTAGTGCCCTTGAGGTTTACCTGGGACCTTTTTTACCTACGGTTTTATGGATTATGCCAATTAAGGGTAGTGTCTACTAAACTGTAGGTAAATTGAGCTTCAGGTAAAGTTGAGCGTTTAGGGTGGTTCCTGGAAGTACAGGGTTTGCCGGAACATGCAGGCACAGCTGCGACAGCTGCGGCAGCAATTATAACATAGCAAGAGTAGGTAGTCTCAGATTACTAGCCGCAAGGCGCTTTGGGTGTAGGGTCCAGGTTCAGGAGTTCAGGAATTGCTAAACCCTAAACCCTAAACCCTAAACCCTAAACCCGAAACCCTAAACCCTAAACCCTAAACCCAAGTTTTTTGCTGCTGCGGAGAGCCCCGAGAGATGCTAGAAGACCAGCTGCCCAGGCGCCAGTGGTCCAGATGCGCCCGGCAGTGTGCGCAGGTGCACCTCCTACTCATGCCAAGATACTCTAAACCTTTTTTAGGGGGGGGTGTTTGGGGTTTGGGGTTTAGGGTTTAGGGTTTAGGGTTTAGGGTGTAGGGTGTAGGGTGTAGGGTGTTTAGGGTTTAGGGTGTTTGGGGTTTAGGGGTTTAGGGGTTTATAGGGTTTAGGGTTTAGGCAAAAAGGGTTTGGGGTTAGGGTTCAGGGAAATCTAGCTTTAAGAGCCTCAGGCCTGTAAATCCTCGAGCCCGAAGCTGAAGCAGGCGTTGCACACAAAGCTCTGGCAGGTTTGGGGTTTGTTTTGGTCGGGGGGTTTAGGGTTTAGGGTTTAGGGTTTTGGGTTTAGGGTTTAGGGTTTAGGGTTTTGGGTTTAGGGTTTAGGGTTTAGGGTTTAGGGTTTAGGGTTTAGGGTTTAGGGTTTACGTAGCCAACAGTCGAACTTGAAACTTTTAGGGTTCCCTTATGCATTACGCTGTTGTTGGGTTGCCTTTTTTTAGTAGGAACATTGAAGTTTATCCTTCTTTATTCCTTGGGCCTTGGGTCTTGCAGAAGTAAGTATGCCACCCCCACCCTACCTGAACCCTGAACCCTAAACCCTAAACCCTAAACCCTAAACCCTAAACCCTAAACCCTAAACCTGAACATCATGTTCATGGCCCTGAGCCCTACCAGGGCGGCGGGGGCACTATCAAGGCCACCGCTCTCCCCCCTTGCATAGCAACCCACAGAAGCAACCCAAGCCCAAAACCGATATCCTCCAACATGGGTTTAGGGTTTAGGGTTTAGGGCTTAGGGTTTAGGAAAGCCCTACCTGTGACTCCCAAACCATGCAAAATGGTAGGTTGTAACCCCCGTAAATAAGGGCACAACCCTCGAAATAGTAGGTAAACGGAGGTTCAGTCAGTAAACCTCAGAAGCACCACATGTAAAACTCGCCAGGTGGTCCAGGGACCCCCACACTCCTGACGCGCGTGTGGGGCACTGAGGGTTTGAAGCGTGTGTAACAACCTAAAGATGTGCCTATAGAGTTTAGGGCTTAGGGCAAACCTTTTACACCACTTCCTGTTACATACCTGCACGCAGAGTGATACGGATGCTCTAGGCATCCCTAAGCCAGAACCCGACACGAAGGGGTATCAGCCTCTAGTAGATAGGTTGGACCCTAAACCCTAAACCCTAAACCAGCCTCCAGATGGGCTGAACCCAGTGGTCGTTTGATACGAGGCCCCACGTCTTCGGGTTGCAAACCTCTAAACCCCAATGTGCCCAAAACCCGTTTGAAGCTCATTACTGCAAACCCTCAGAAACCATTCAATTGCCCTTTTCCGGCCTTGAAACCCCTTAACCTTGTTGTTGTTAAGGACAGCGCGCATGCTCACAAAAAGCCGAAAAAATATTGGACCCGGAGCCCAAGCCCCAAAACCTAAGCTGCACAGACCTGCACTGTGGGGGGTTTGCTGACGAGCCGCATGGGTGGTTGTCAAAATTATGGTCCCTTTTTGGATCCCTGTTATTATACGGCACCAAATATTTAGGGTACCCCACAAGGGATCATAATTTTGGCAACCACCCACATGTTAGAAGCGGTTTCGGGTGCTAGGGTTTGGAGTTGTAGGCAGGGATATAAAAGGGTCAGGTTCCGTTGACCTCACTGCCTTTTTGCAACCGTCTAACCGAACCGGCTGTTGGTTCACATCTGGATCACGATGTTGTGCTCGCCCTCCTCGCGGCCAACCCACCCCAAAAGCATGCTTAGGGCGTTGTAGGGTTTAGAGGGTGTATAGGTTTAGGTTATAGGGTTTAGGGTTTAGGATATCTTAAACCCCGAACGCAGCAAGCCTTAAGACCTGTCAGAGGCTAACGCCGAGACAGCATGAGCCACGTCGCGAGGCGTGGCCCTCGAAACAGCTCGATTGGGCACCGCCCCTCCACCCCCCCCCCCCCCCCACTGGCCTAAGCCATGAGAGTAGGGTTTAGGGTTTTTGGGTTTGGGTTCATGGCCCTAAACCCTCTTTCTGAATGACAGTTTCATACTTGGAGTCCTAGAGAGACCAGAGCCCTAAACCTTTTCAACTTATCATGGCCCTAGCCGACCCTGCCCTGCGTCGCCCCTGCGACAGCCTTCCCGGCCCTGGTCGAGTTCCCAACGCCCTCTCAAAGAGCCCTAAACCCTAAACCCTAAAACCCTAAACCCTTAACCCCAAACCCTACCTTGGGCTGCTCAGAGCCCCTGGCGACATGCCAAGGTGCCGGCAGCCTTGCGGATCGCAGCGCCCATCTTCGGGGCCAAGGCGCGCTTAGGGTTTGGGGTTTAGGGTTTAGGGTTTAGGGTTTAGGGTTTAGGGTTTAGGGTTTAGTCTTTAGGCTTTAGGCTTTAGGCTTTAGGCTTACGCAGCCCAAAACCCTCTAGGTCATGCATAAGTTTGCATTGTTCAGGGCCTTCCTGGCTTACAGTTGGGAGATTGCCTGGCTGAGGGTTCATGTCTTTAGGGTTTGCCGTTTTAGGGTTGAGAGTTTAGGGTTCAGGTGGTTTGGGGTTTGGGTTTAGGGTTTAGGATGGAGGATGGTTGAGGGTTTAGGGTTAGACTTTAGGCTTTATATGTGGCTGGTGGTGCGTGCTGCTGGGTATGCGAGGAGGACAGGAGGCTGCCACTAGGTATCCCGAGGGTTTCGGGTTGGGTTTCGGGATCACCAGGCAAGGAGGATCGGTTTAGGGTTTAATTAGGGCTTAGGCTTTAGGATTTAGGGTTTAGGTTTTGAGGTTTAGGGTCTCACCCGGCAGTCGTTACGAGGCCTGGATGCAAAAGGGTCTGCAGCACATTCTCTTGAGCTTCGCACAGGTGCTGTTCCGTGGCTTTGGCCCTCCAGCTTAGACCACGAAGCCGCCCCATGGCACTCCCAGTATACCATACGCTTACTCAACCTTCTGTATGTGACTGCTGCAGGGTGGAAGTACCCTCGACGTTTGAAACCCGAAGCCCGAATCGTACACACCAATCTCTGATCCCTTACCAGTAGAGGGATCAAGGGGTATAAGCCTAAGTAGCCTCTAAATAGCCCCTAATGAACCCCTAAGGTCCCCTATGAGGGTCCCTCCTTGAGTGCCTTGGGTGTTTGATGCCTCAGTCTGCTGTGCGCGAGCATTGTCGAAACCTTGAAGCCATAGCAGGACCAAGAAGCGAAGGTAGTGCTGCGATCAATGAAGGCTTTTGAGGAGGGTTTGGGGTTTAGGTTTGACTATGCACTATAGTAAAAGAAATGGGGGGCATCACGATCTTTTCGAGATCCACTAGGAAGAGACACCGCAGGCAAATGCAATGGCTGCCGTTCCCCTACCCCGATGCGACAAGTGCGACAAGGAGTTCGAGAAGCTACTGCAATGCGGGCGGTGCAAGAACGCTTTCTATTGCTCACGAGAGTGTCAGAACAATGCGTGGAAACGTCACAAGAACATCTGCCGCAAGCCGGAGGAGGAAGCAGGAGAGGCAACTCTACAAGCTTGGCGCGTGTCCCAAGCCACAAAGCCTGCACCGAAGAAACCCCCTGAGAGCTCCAACTTGCCGCTGCAAGCAGAAGATGTGGAGGAGGCAGAATCTTTCCAGCAAGTTCGGCAAGAGCTTCTCAAGGAGACCAAGGACATAAATGCGCGAATGGTGTCCGTCATGCAAGCCTCCAAGGGAGATCCCATGGTCTTCCTCTCCGAGGTGAAGGAGCTCAAAGAAGAGTACCATCGGAATCTTCGCGATCGTCTGCGCGGAAGCAGCTCATTCAAAGTCGGGGCAGAGGACGAGTTTGCTGCAGCCATCCGACTAGGAGAGGAGTTCCTTGCGGACCACATGAGCCCTAAATTTTGGGGGGTCATCTTCCCTGTACTGCGCTAATCCCTATCAAGGTATATGAACCACACCCCTTTTGTGGTGCCCCTAAACCCTAAACCCTAAACCCTAAACCCTAAACCCTAAACACCGCCACCCTGTTGCCCCAAGGTTGATGAAAGAGGTCATCATGGCGCTGTTGCAGCGAGGGATGTCCAACTCAGCAAGTGTCTAGGACCAGGAGTTTAGGGTTTAGAGTTTAGGGCTTAGGGCCTAGGGTTTAGGGTTTAGGGCTACTAGGACCAGGAGTAGGCCCTTATTCAATTTGTTTATAATCACCTTTATTCAATTTGTTTAGGATTTAGGTTCATTTATAATCCCCTTTAAACCAGAAAGGGCGCCCTTTTTTGTTCCTAGGTTACTCTTGGGTCTAGGTGTCGATCAGCTCGATCTGGCCAACAACCATTTCCACGCGGGAATTCTCCAGCAAAACCCTCCAGAAGCCTCTTAGCCAAAGCACCTGAAACTTTAAGCTTTGGGTGCTTCCTGACTTTTTGGTAGGAACCGAATAAAGCTTAGCCTGTTTTGTTCCCTTTAGGCCTAAACCCTATTTGAGAAAAAAACTAAACCCTAAATCCTAGACCCAAGGCCTTTGCTCTGGAAGATGGAGACCTCGACGGCTTCGAGCCCGCGGTGCGACGTGTGGCACAGAACCTTGGGAACGAAATGAACCCTAAAAGGGTTTAGTTTAGGGTTTAGGGTTCATATACCTTAAAAGGAATTAGAGTAGTATAGGGTATATGACACCAATTTTAGGGTTCATTTGGTCCCCAAGGAATGGCTTCGTTACGGTCGAAGGCTTGCTGGACGAGAGTCCCGGATGTGTTCCAGATTTTGTCTTTTTGGGGTTAGTTGGGTTAGGGTTTAGGGTTTGGGGTTTATAGCCCTATGCTTCTGGGGGCCCCACGGTTGTGTCGTCCAGGGTTCTGGTAGCCTAACTAACTTTTAGGGCCTTGGAAGTATAGGGTCAGGTTTGGTTATTTGGGTTTAGGGCTTCCCTTTTAGGTCCAGTCCCTCTGGAAACCCCACTCTACCTTTTTGTTGATTCTCAGGTTTCTGGGCAACCTAGGACTATTGCAAAGGTGATCTGCGAGGAGTGTGAGCTTCATTTCTGGAATTCCCGAGATGCCGGTGCCATGAGCCCTGCCCTGACGCCTGCGGAAGGCATCTTCGAGTGCTGGGTTCCATATCCGGCACGGAAACTCGGACGCAGAGTAGGCAACGATTTCCTTTTTTAGAGGTTTAGGTGCCCCTTACAAGCCCCTTGAAGCCAAACAAGGGTACCCCGCTTTTCTATTCCTAGGCTACTCTTGGGTCTAGGAAATGGATGTCGCCCGAATTCCAGCATGCTCTTCGGATCCTCTTCGGCCTGCCGTACGAGTTTGCCCGGCACAAGTACCTTTGTAGCTGAATGAGTACACTGTACACTTTTTCTTAGGGGTACTTGGAAATACTTTTCAATTTTGGGTACTACAATTCCTAAGAAACAGCAAAACATTCATTTTTGCTCGGGCTCCAAGTTCAGTATAGTTTTGGGATACGATAACCCCCCCTATAGAACTGAAAGTGTACACTTTTGTGGGGCTGAACTAACGCAGCAGCTAAGGTACGGCGCGAAACTCAAAGTGCCCACCATGGCCCACGTGGCTTGCATACCAGCAGGTCCGGGTTCAGGGTCTAGGGTTTTAGGGAAAAGGTTTAGGGTTTAGGGTTTTGCAGGTCCGAAGGGTCCATCGGTCCATACATCTAAAAGGGGTGTGTGAGGGCTTAGGGCTTGTGGAGTTTGGGGGCCCCTTTCAGTGTTCCCCTAAACCCTAAACCCTAGACCCAAGACCCTAGACCCTAGATCCTAGACCCTAGACCCTAAACCCTAAACCCTAAACCCTAAACCCTAAACCCTGCACGAGCACCACACCCTGTGGGAGGAGCAAGGGAGGCGGCGCACCTCGACTTCGCCGCCAGCAGCTCGGGGCGCGAGCTGACGTTTTCCCTCTTCCTGGCAGCTCCGAGGATGCAACGTACTTGGAGGTCGAGGGTACTTGGGGTTTAGGGTTTAGGGTGTAGGGTTTAGAGGGTTTAGAGATGTTTGGAGGGTCTGGAGGGTTTAGAGGGTTTAGAGGGTTTAGAGGGTTTAGGGTTACCCATTATATCCCCAATAAAAACTGTACTTCTAAAGCCCTACGTCCGCTAAGTAGGTTGTCAGTACTTCCTATACTGGAGTCATAAGTACCCATGAACCTCAAAGCAGTACCATGTAGTACCCGTATTCTCTCGTTCTGAGGTTCTTGGGTTTTAGGGTCTAGGTAGAGGATTCCATCTACATCATTGAGCCGAAAAGGGCACCCCTCCTATTCTTAGGCTACTGGAGCAAACCCTAAACCCTAAACCCTAAACCCTAAACCCAGGATCAGTGGGCCGCGGAGGATGGTGGGGCCTTCAGAGCCTTCGTGGATGGAGACGACCGGGTGCTTTCCTCTCCCAGCGGCAACGGAGAGGTGGGGTTTAGGGTTTAGGGTTTAGGGGTTAGGGGTTTAGGGTTTAGGGTTTAGGGTTTAGGGTTTAGGGTTTAGGGTTTAGGCGTAAGGTTTGGGGTTTAGGGTTTGGTGTTTAGGGACACAATGCACAGATGCTTAGGATAGTAGAGTGGGCGACCTTTAACCTTTTAGGGTTTTTTTCGGGTTGAGGGTTCTTAGGGTTCAGGGGTCTCAGGGCTTTCAGGGTTTAGGGTTCCCTATATCATCCCAAAGGTTGAGCTTCGATTCCCATAGGATTCTGGACAACTAAGGATGCTGGGCAAGGATGTGTGGAGCACGGCGCTGATGTCTTCAAGGATGTCTTTCCAGAAGTTGGCCGATGCCTCATCTTTCAGTCCAAGCGCCTTTGGCACGAGATCCGGCCTCCCAACAAGAAGTTGTGGGTTCTCAGCTTGTTCGCCTACGCCGAGTGAAAAGGGCATCGGGCCATCACATCAGAGCATGGGAAGTTCCTTGAGCCCTAAACCCTAAACCCTAAACCCTGCATCACCTTGCGAGGAGGCGGCGCCAGCGCCCATAAAGGCAACAACGCCGCGGAAGCCGGTCTCGGGCCCAGCCGACTTTGTGACGTAAAATGTAGGCCTAAACAATTAGAACAGGGTTTAGGCTTTCGGGTTTAGGGTGCATAATATAGGGGCCCAAATAATTAAAACAGAGCTTTGGGAGCTATTAACGAACATTTACAAAGAGGCCATAAAGAAATGATATTTGTAATTGTTCCGACCCCTATATTAGGGATTTTTAGGGGCTGGTGGCAGCGACCCCGCTTAATCAGACATGTCGCCTAAGCTATAGGCGAGTTGAGAGTCGATGGGTTTGGGATTTGGGGTTTTAGGGTTTAGGGTTTAGGGTTTAGGGTTTAGGGTTTAGGGTTTAGGGTTTAGGGTTTAGGGTTTAGGGTTTAGGGGGATTCGGGGTTCGGAGCTTGAGCGTTTCGGGCCCACATCGCGCACGCGCATGCTCGGCATCTCATGTCCAGCCCGTGCTCTGCCAAGACTGGACCTACTATTTGCTTAAGAACCCCCAAAAAACAAAAAAAGATCAGTCCCTATATTACCCTTAATAAGGAAGAACATTTTTATTTTTTTGGGGGGTTCTTAAGCAATTAGTAGGTACTTCTACAGTGAAGGTCCACGCAGCTTCTTGCCACTTGTAACCTGGCGCTCGTTTGGACAAGCAGTGGGAGCACCCTCGCTTACTGGCTGATTCTTAGTATGGAATGAGGGAATGAGGTTTCCTGCATACTCCCGCAAAGGGTATATATAGGGCCCTAATTCCCTCATTCTCCACTAAGAACCAGGGGGTTTAATGCTGATGCGGTCTGAGAGGGTTCGGACAGGTCATGAAGGGGCAAAGCACAAGGATGCCCAGGGACTGGATGGGATTATGAGATGCCAAGGCACGACTATGTGCTTAAGAACCTCCCCCCCCCCTCCAGAATCATCCCTATATTGCCCTTGAAAGGAAGTAGTTTTGATTTTTTAGGGGGCTCTGGAGCAAGCAGGACAAAAAAGGAGCAGGAAAAGGAGCCTCCAGGGGAATGGGAGATAGGAGAGTCAAGAGGCCTTAAATTAAAGAGGTTTAGGGTTTAGGGGTTTAGGGTCATGGTTTGGGGTTTAGGGTTAATGAAAGAAGGGCTAAACCTCAAACGCCTTGCAGGCTGCAGCGAACAGCGCTGAGCCACCGTGCACGGCCCAGAAAGCAGGTCGTTTTACACCAGCCTTCTAGCGGTGCAGGACGTTCTTGGGGTTTGTTGTTTATAGTTAGGACCCAGAGAAGGCCCTCATTCCCCTTTTTGTGCGGCTCAGGTTCAGGTATAAACCCCCTTTAAACGAAAAAGTGGTTCCCCTTTCTATCCCTTGGCTCCTCGGGGGTCTTCTTGGAGGTTCATGGTACTTATAAATCAATTACCACTGTTCTTATAACTCTACTTATAACCATATTAGGGCACTTAAGGGGCTTACAAGTGGGTTCTAAGTACAGTTACAATTTGTTCATAAGTGCCATGAACCTCCAAGTAGATATCAAAGGGTAGTTACATGGGCGCCCTAGTGGTGTCCCTTACTTCCTCAGAAAGGTTCTGACATATGGGCCCTTAGTTTGTATGAGGTATATAAGATCTAAAGGTCCCCATTTAAGGGCCCATACGAAAGGACCATGTAACTACCCTGAACCCTAAACCCTAAACCCTAAACCCTAAACCCTAAACCCTAAACCCTAAACCCTAAACCCTAAACCCTAAACCCTAAACCCTGAACCCTAAACCTAAGATGTGCCCTGAGAAGATAGGGCTCAGGAGACAGAAATTCCTCAGCCCCAAGAAGTCGAAGCTATCCGGCTTCCTGAGCCCATCCGAAGCCCTAAGCAACCCCAAAGAAGCCCTAAGCCCTCACCCTAAACGCCTAAAACGCCCTAAGGCTTGGGGGGTTTAGGGTTTAGGGTTTAGGGTTTAGGGTTTAGGCTTAGGGTTTAGGGTTTAGGGTTTAGGGTTTAGGGTTTAGGGCTACGCCCTATAGACCTGTGCCACCAAAACGAGCTACAGGCCTCCTCGACAGTTCACTCCGGCTCCTGCTGGCACCATGGACGCCCAGCTGCAAGTTCCAGAGGTGCCCTCTCGAAGTTTTGGGTTTAGGGTTTAGGGTTCAGGGTTCAGGGTTTAGGGTTTAGGGTTTAGGGTTTAGGGTTCAGGGTTTAGGGTTTAGGCCGCAAAGCCCCAAACCCCAGATTCGGGTACAGGGTGGCTTGTCCGTAAGGACCTTTGTAAGGGATTGGAGGTCACAAGCCCATCGAGACAGGGAGTAAATCTTGGTAGGGTATGAGCCTTGAGGTACACGCTCATCACACACAGCCTCCTAAACGCTAAAGCCCTAAGCCCTTAAGCCAAGCGATAAACCCTCAACCCTGAAACCCTAAACCCCATAAGCTTGAAAACCCTAAATGGTCGAGCCCGAAACCCTACCCCAAACCTTGAAACCCTAAACTACCCTGCAAGCTTCAAAGCCCTAAATGGTCGAGTTCGACCAGTGTCCGTGGTGTATCCGCCCCCGGCCCGTAGTTATAAGTAGAGTAAATTGGGCGATAAGGATCCTAACTTAGGTTGTAAGTCTAGAATTTGTGTTGTAAGGGGGCCCTTCCCTGCCTGCTGAGACTTTCCAAAGCCTTGCCGGCCGCGCGCCCTCAACCCTAAACCCTAAAATCCCGAAAACCCTACACCCTAAAGCTCTAAACCCTAGAACTCTAACCTTCTGGAACCCGAAACTCCGAAGACCCGAAATCCCTGAAAGCCCTAAAAGCCCTACTAAACCCTCAAAATCCCTGAAAGCCCTCAAAATCCCTAAAAGCCCTAAAAGCCCTAAAAGGCCCAAAAGCCCTAAAAGCCCTAGAAGCCCTAAAAGCCCTAAAAGCCCTAAAAGCCCTAGAAGCCCTAGAAGCCCTAAAAGCCCTAGAAGCCCTAAAAGCCCTAAAAGCCCTAGAAGCCCTAGAAGCCCTAGAAGCCCTCAAAGCCCTCAAAGCCCTAAAAGCCCTAAAAGCCCTAAACCACCTGCCGCACGCGCGAGTGTGAGAGTCGAAGCCCTGAAGCCAAGGAGCGCGTCATCGTGAGATCGGGCACGCGCGGCAGCCCCAGTGGCTTGGGGTTAGGGTTTAGGGTTTAGGGTTTCGGGTTTAGGGTTTAGGGTTTAGCATTTCTAGGCTCAGGGCTTTCAGGCCTTAGAGCGTCTAGGGTCCTGGGGGAAGACCGAAAGGCCCTAAGCTTAGGGTTTAGGGTGCAGGGGCCGTCGATGCCCTTTAAAACCTGTCACCCTAAACCATAAACCCTAAACCTTAAATTCTGCCCGAAGCTGATCTCAGAGCATTCAGACAAGTCCCCCGTCGCATCAAGCCATGCCTCTCTTTGAGCTCTCCAAGTTCTTGCCCCTGTGCCTGGCCTTGCAGGGGCACGCGGTAGATCTCCTCTGCGAGGATGCCGAGCCGCAAGCCCCGCGAGACGTGAGCCCTGGCTACGTGGGGGAAAGGCTCACCAGGTACGAGCCCTACGGCTCGGTTTTTGTCCCCAGGTTCGAGCAGGTAAACATCCACTGGCACCTGGGTGCTGAGCACCGCATGGACGAGCAGTACGACCGGCGGCCGCCGGCGTGGGCGAGCAACGTGACGGTGGAGAAGGACGGCGAGCAGGAGCTTGTAGTGCCTGGCCTGTGGTGCCCCACAGACGGCATCAATGACACACTGCTGGATGAAGACTCCTACACCTTCCAGCACTGCAAAGCCGCGCGGGTCGGCGGCGTGTACGAATTCCACTGGGTCTTCTCGACAGGAGGTCCTGGCACGCTTCAAGAGGATGGCAGCGAGGGAGAGCTTGGCATATCGGCGGGCTTGGGCGGTGCCTTCAATCGCACCAACAATGCCGATGTCATCGTGCGGGCTCAGGTGTGCCTCATCGTGCACGACCCTAATGCTACTGGCGGGCCGAACGACTACTTCAACGCCGACGGGAAGCCTTTCCTCGAGGAGTGGAGACAGCCCCCAGCGGGTTCGGCTGTGCGCTACGTGGGCTCCACCACCGGAACCGCCTACGATGACGAGGTCTGCTCGCCTGTGGAGGTGAACTGGCACGTGGACCAGCGGTGCTGCCATCTGTCTGCCCAGGCCATGGACAAGCTGTGCGAGGAGATGATTGCGGTCGGTCTCGAGGCCGATGTCGCGCCGAAAGGCTCCCGGCGGCCCGTGGACCGGCGCTGGGTCTCTGACATCACGTTTCCCCTCGTCCCCATCGGCTCTGGCATCGTCGTGCAGTGAGGAGCGCGCCGGAGAAGTACTGACATCGGAAGGACGCCTGAGGACGCTGTTAAATTTTGAGTTTTGCGGATGGCACCCCTTAGCCATCCCAAGTCGGAAAAATCTGAGCCGCAAGCAAGCCTGGCAGTGGACCCAAGTCCAGCTGGGAGTGCCCATGGCGGCAGGTTAGCCGGAGGGTGGTCGGTGCTTCCCTGTACATCCCCGCAGCATTGGCCGTCCCGCGGGATGCGTTGATATTTTCCGATTTGCCGTAATGATTTGCCCCCTGTTTCAAGGAAGGTTTTTGAGAAGGATTTCGAAGACCTCCTTACGATGTGCGGTATCCATCGCGCCGTCGCCAAAAAAATCGTTTTTCGGTACTGTGAGGAAGCATGCGTAACGATGTCAGTTGACTCGTGTTTGGCTGGGCGTCTGGCAATCTTCATTTGTTGTTTTGAGGTCCTTGATGCTCCAGCCCTTCTCGAGTCAACCACGTCTCCCTTTCTTGGGACATATGACATGGAACGTTTGCATCCCTGCAGTGTGGTTGCGAGGCTGCTGGGCAGGTGGCAAAAACCCCTATATTCTACAAAGTTGCCGCATCGTTGACCCCGCGTTGCTGTGGCTAGTCGGGTGGCAACAGGCCCTAAACCGTTTTGGTAACCCTAAACCCGAAACCCTAACCCTAAACCCTAAACCGTTTTGGTCTCCCCCTTCTTGCGGGGTCCAAGGCAGCTGATGGCGGTGCGTTGTCCGACTCGAGGATTCGATGGAGTTCTCGGGATGGCTTATGAGACTTCGGAATCCCTTAGAGTTAGGCCCTAAATGTTAGGGTTTAGGGTTTCGGGTTTACTGGTTTAGGGTGTACTGGTTTAGGTTTTCGGGGCTTGGAAGGGGTTAGGGTTGAAAAGGGCATTACTCTCTAACTCCTTGGCCCTGCACAAGCGCATTCTAAGGTGATGAGACCCCATAATCCCTTGGAGTCTCACTCCCTTATTTAAAGAATTTTGCCTTAGACACGACAATCACTCAGAAAGGCCCTGACTTAGAATTCTCAGCCCCAAGACGCCTTGACAAGGCCCTTCAGAAGGATTCATGGAATTGGAGAGGTTTTTGAAGCACCCTAAGATCCCTTTTTCGGAAGCCACCTGGCGAGAGCTTAGGCTCTATCATCCCGTAAGGTCTGAGAGGGGTTGTGGGTTGAGGGTTTCCTGTGGATTGTCAGGCTCAATAGACCATCCCCTAAACCCTAAACCCTAAACCCTAAACCCTAAACCCTAAACCCTAAACCCTAAACCCTAAACCATCCTGGCAGGATGCCACTGTGCAACCAGCAGCGCGGGGATGGAGATTGAGATTTGATGGTCCATCTCTCACGTGGGTAGTTCTCCACCTGATGTTCCACTACTATTTGCTTCTGAACCCCGAAAGAATAAAAGCACAATAATCCCTACACTGCCCTTTTATAAGGAACTATAATTTTTTTTTGGGGGGGGGTTCTTAAGCAACTACTAGTCCATTTTTGGTTTAGAGGGTTGAAAGAGAAGGGTTTATAGAGATCATGCCTAGATTAGCAAACCTTGTACCTTAAGAAAGGCTATATTCCCACATATTGAATCAAGGTACATGACCTTTTCTTAACGTTAAAGAAGGTATACTCAACCCCGAACCCCCCCCCCCCCCCCCCCCCCCGAAATCCCCTCCACCCCCTTGACCCTAAGCCACAAGGGGGTAGCTTAGAGATCTACCCGCATGTCTGCTGCAGGCCTTTGGCCTTTGTACTCTAAGCAAGATGCCAAGATGCCTGCCCCACAACGCGGATCGGAGACGCACGGGTTAGGCGCACACCCTACGCCCTACACCCTACACCCTACACCCTAAACCCTAAACCCTAAACCCTAAACAAAGAAAGGGTCTAGGGCAATGAGCCACTTCTTCCGAGTGGAAGTCGCTGTCATGCGTGTAATGCTGTGGATGGATGACCGATAGAAGGGTATCCATACAAGATCTGTACACTGTTTTGAGTTTAGGGTTTTGTGTTTGCACATACCTCTCTACAACATGGCGCACATCTCAGTAGGCTTAGGGTCAGTATCATGTCTGTGTGACACACTGATGCACCTGACATGTGTACACAATGGAATCAGCCATCAACGATCCAAGCGGATGCTGTGTGGTTTCAACATGAAGCTGCCCCTTTAGTTTAGGATTCAGGGCTTCGCGTCCTTGAACCCGAAACCCTAAACCCCTCCCAGCCCCGCCTGTAAACCCGAAAGCCCAGACCTCGAACTTTGGTGGGCACCTTGTGCACGTGGTCCGTCCGTGACCAGTTTCGTCTATGCGCCAATGCACCCCAGGGAGCCCCGATAGCCCTGAACTAGTGGAAGGAACCGTGAACGCGAGGGAGAACCACGGGCCCGTGTCAACTGGATACGATTTTTTTAGCATGCCTATAAATAGAACTCCACTTGTAGCTAGGGAAGCCCCAAAACGCTAACCCCAAGTAACTGGGGGGGGGGGGGGGGGAGCCCTCCCTTGTGCCAGCCTGAGAAGGCACCGAAAAAAGTGGCGAGAAAGGGCGAAGAAGTTCCTCTAGATACATGGCCGTATGCTATATATATATATATATGCATGTGTATATAGTTATGTATATATATATATACACGTGTATATATACACATATATATATATATATATTGTTACAGAGTACAGTAATTCAGTATAGTCTGTGTGATATCATGGTGTATGGCAGGATACCAGGGCACAGTATGTTGCAGCATACCCCGCATTTTTTTCGAGTATCTCCTGGTTTCACATGGCATGGGATGGCATTCCATGGAGAACTGCAAGGTTACCAAACTCTGCTGCGCAGGCTGAGCCTTGCGCCCGGGTCGGGGTTTGGGGTTTGGGTTTAGGGTTTAGGGTTTAGGGTTTGGGGTTTAGGGTTTAGGGTTTAGGGTTTTAGGGTTTAGGGTTTAGGGTTTAGGGTTTAGGGTTTAGGGTTTAGGGTCTTCATGCCGTGGAGCTTCGGGCTCGAAGGCCGGCTCGAGCGAGCTTCGTCAGCATGTTTTCGGCGTGTTGTGGACAGGTCCTGACGACCATGGATTCCGAAGATTGAATCTCGGTTTAGGGTTTAGGGTTTAGGGTTTAGGGTTTCGGGTTTAGGGTTTAGGGGTTTTTCGGGCGCGCCCTCAGAGAGGAGGCTAGAAGCGCGATGGCGCCGAAGGTGGAGGTCGGTCGGAGGCGGGTCACGAGTGGCTCGGAGAGTATGCTTGCTGAGATGGGCTGCTTGCCTAAAGCCACATCTCCCGGCCCTGCAACACCCCTAAACCCCCAACCCTCTGACCGAGTAAACCCTGCAAACCCCTGAGCCCCGAACCCCAAACCCAAAACCCTAAACCCCCTCCTTCCCCAACTCCGAAGAGGGTACCCTTATGATCATGTGGTAACTGGGCTCCCAAGTCCTGCAGGCGTCCGGCTGCAGCTGTCCTGCTGCTGTCAGCTGGCCTGGTTGCCACAGGCAACGTTCATCTTAGGGTTTAGGGTTTAGGGTTTAGGGTTTAGGGCTCAGGGCTGTGGAGTCACTGTGTGGAGGCGTCAGGAAAATCCTGTAAAGCCCTAAAAAACCCTACCAAAACCCCCCCAGAAGCCCTTAAAAACCCAATAAGATCCGACAGAATTCTATAAAGCCTGGTAAAACCCCATACAATCCTGAAACCCTGCAGAATCCTAAAACCCTAAAAAACCCGAACCCAACCTTCGAGGAGCAGTGCGTCCGGCTGTGCAAAAGCCAAAAGAAAACCCCAACCCTGCACCATGACGTGCTTCCCTTTGCGGTTTAGGGTTTAGGGTTTAGGGTTTAGGGTTTAGGGCTATCAGGTTCAGGGTTTAGGGTTTTGGGTTTAGGGCTATCGGGTTTAGGGTTTGGTTGGGCAGGTGGGTCCACTCTCGTGTCGGGCTGTCTGCCGGAGCCTGAAAGGGCATTGTGCTGGGGCTCCTTGCCCGGGCTCACTCAGTCTAGGTTTGAGGTTTAGGGTTTCGGGTTTAGGGTTTGGGGCTAAGGGGCCTGATTCTGCAGCTAAAGGATCCACGGTCTGCTTAAGAGAGCCCCGCAGAAAATTAAAATACTATTGCATTTAAGGACAATATAGGGAACATTGTTATTTAGATGTTTTCGGGGTTCTTAAGCGAAGAGCAGGGGTTATACACTAGGATGCCCAGCGGCACACTCTTATTGTCGTTCGTTTTCCTATTCGTACACCTGATCGACCTCTTAGTGACAGGCACCTTATCTATGTAGGGTTCACCCTAAACCCCAAACTTGTGAACTCCTAAACCTTCAACCCTAAACTCCTTCTGCCACAGGAATTAGCAGAGGGCTGCTTCTTTACCAGGAGGTTTCTTGCACAGTTTGTGCCACATCAGCCCTTACGACCCCCCAACCCTGAAACGTATCCCAAACGCACAACGCCTAGAAGTCCTATACATGGGTAGTTAGGGTCCCTTTTCGGGGTCTTAAAAAAAAGGTGCCGATACACGTGTATGCATATATATATATATATAACTGTATAAGACCCATAAATGGACCCAACAATAGAATGCAATTAATTCAGCTTAGCCGCCCTGAACCCTAAAACCGCGTGGGGCTGAGGCGCCGCCACCCCACGCGCTCCGTGGCACTTCGCGCACGTGACGTCAAGGAGATCGCGCAGGAGGTCCTGTGACACTTCCGACTCCGGACCCTGAACCTATAAAGCCTTGAAACACTGTAAACCCTGCACCCAAATGCTGAATGGTTTAGTTGCAGGGTTTAGGGTTTCAAAGCGTTTAGGGGTCTTATGGCGGGCGGTAGGACAAGGGTTTTTTCGAAGCCTTGAGTTTCGGATGAGAGGCTCCACTTATAAGAGTTCTTAAGGGACCCAGACAGTTTTTACAGGAGCGTGCGCAACCCAGATACCTGACCAGGGTGTCCCAAACCCTATAAACCCCAAAACCCTGGAATCTTAATAAACCCTAGAAAACCTAAAACTCGGGTAAACCCTGAACCTAAACCCTATAAATCTAAGACCCTAAAACCCTCGAACCTAGAACCTAAAAGCCCTGAAAGCCCTAGAACCCTAAAGCCCGAAATCCAGCAAACCCTCAAACCCTAAAACCTAAACCCGAAAACGCGAAGAACCCTCAGAACCCCAAAACATGGACTCTGGAAAGGGTTGAGGGTTTAGGGTTTAGGGTTCAAACTCGGGGTGGGGCAGTTGCACTCGATCATTGAAGAGCTGGCATTGGATGATGCACCCACTCCACTGCGCATCTTGGGCCGGAAGAGTCCCCAAAACCCCCTGGGGTTTAGGGTTTAGGGTTTAGGGTTAGGATTTAGGGTTTAGGATTTAGAGTTTACCGTTTAGGGTTTAGGGTCTTAGTCCCTAAGGCCCCTAGAGTTTCTAGGGCTTCCGGTTTAGGGCTAGCCCTAGTTGTTTTTCTAGCATCCTTGTACGGCCCAAGCACATTCAGGAGCCTGAAACCCAAACCCCAAACCCCATGGGGCCGTCTGGGATGGACATGGGTTTCGGAGTGTGTGATTTAGCTCCCTCTCTGGTGGCTGCCACCAGTTGCTTTAGGGTTTAGGGTTTATTTAGGTTTAGGAGTCTGGGTTTCGGGTTTTTAGGGTTTGTAGGTTGTTTTTTTTTGTTTGGGGGGGGGGGGGGGGGGTGAGGGAAGGCTTCATTCATAGCAGGGTTG